TACTTATTCCCAAAGTTTTCTGAAAATGTAAGGAGGAGGGAAGGAATTGAAAATTTCCTTCCCAGACTTAGAACGGTCAAATAATTGACTTCTTTTATATCTAGTATAGCATCATAGAATGAGAGGGATGCATTCATTTAACCATACACATACATACCACTTAAAACAAGCAATCAGAAAACCAGAGTTTGGAGATAGATAAATAGATAGATAGATAGATAGATAATTTCAATGCACAGATTTCCCCTTGGCCCTGAACCAATGGTGATTTTTGAGGTAAACATCTAAAATAATAACTTTTCTAAGGCATGCCAATTTACATATATTGTTCATGTGCTAAGATTTCAAATCTATTTTCAGAAAGGTCAAACAAATTCAGTCTTTAATTGTACCTATTAATATAATGGTTTGATTTGCCTCTGTTGAAGGGATACTCCTAGAAGCAGTATTATATTATATTATGGTAATTTCATCTTGACTGCCAGTGCCAACTTTTATGTGTATAAGTAGCACCTTTTCTGGGAATGTGCTTTCATGTTCATAAGTAGCACTTTTTTCAGTACTTCTATTCACGATCACTTCTTCAAAGGCAGCCACCACTACTGGGACCAATCTGTAGGTGTTTCTCTTGTAAAATTCATTTAAAATACGATCTATCAATCTATATTCCCACACATACACATACATACATACATCTACTCTGCCTTTCCCCCAGATTGGAATTCAAAGCACCTTGCAATAATTAAAAAAAACATTGTTAATGAAATCCACAAGCTACAACAGTTAAAATATGGTTACACAATAAAAATACCATGTTAAAACATACACCATTAAACACACAAACCAGCACAACAGTATCCATCACATTGAGTCACTTATCAATTAGTGTCAGATTAGAAATACAAATACCTTTACTTGTCTTTGAAAATGAAGTAGGTAAAGTGCTCTTCTGACAAATCTGGGAAAAGAATTTCAAAGCCTGGGGGCAGCCACTGCATAGATTCTCTCCTGTATTCCCACCAGACTTACGATACTTGCGAGGATTGTGGGGCAAAGATAAGGGCCTTCCCATAATAATTTAAATATTGGGCTTCTTTGTAAAGGAAAATATAAATATGGGCCTGGGTCACATAAGACTTTAAAGGTCATAAGCAGAACTTCAAATTGTGTTGAGAGATGGAACAACAGCCAATGGAGCACCTACATGTTCCCTGCAGCCAGACCCAGTTAGTAATTTGGCTGATGCTCTTTTGGCTACTTGAACATTCTGAACTTTTCTCAAAAGCCACATCATGTACAATGTGTTGCAGTAATCCACAGGATGTAATTCAGCCATGTACCTTTGTGGCCAGATCTGATTTTTCAAAAATGGGTACATCTGTTCATAAGCTTTAACTGTGCAAAAGAACTCCTAGCTACTAGGGCTGGGCGGTTTCGTTTCGTTAATTCGTAATTCGTTAATAATTCGTTAATTTTTTCAATTACAAAACGATAACGAACCATTCTGGAGCAATTATTAAAAAACGAATTTTCAAAAACGTTTTGTAAATGCTTCGTATTTCGATATTGTATTCGTTTCGTTATTGTTTTGAGGTCGTTTCGTTATTATTTCCCCATGTCTGGGCCAGTTTTATGGTTTAATTAGTGAAAAAAAATTATAATATCACACCAACAGTCAACAACAGAGGGAGAGGGAAGCTTCAGAAGTTTTTGGAGGTTTTTTAGCGTATTTCGCGGTTGCGTCCGCCATTAACGAATCGATTCGTTATTGTTTCGGAAATCGATTCGTTAATTTTTTACCATTTACGAAATTTCGTAAATATCGAACTTTTTAAAAGGAAAATTTTGTAATTATTTTAAATATCGAAACAAAAAAAACCCCCAAATACAAATCGATTTTAGAAACAAATTTTTCCGTTGTTACCCAGGCCTACTAGCTACCACTGTAATCTGGGCTTCCATGCTCAGCATTCAAAGTCAAACTGTGAATCTGCAACTTCAGGGAGCACAGTGTAACTCCATCTAGCATACTGTAAATCTCTGATCTGCCACTTGACTAATCAGGAGGTTCTACAAATTGTTTGGATTAATTTTCAGTTCAATAGCTTCCTTGTCTTATGGTGGAAAGGAGTAATAAAGATGGGTATTCATCTACTGATGTCACTGAATCCCAAAAGTGCAGGACAAGTTATCCTAGTAGTTTAATGCATATGTTAAATAATATGGGGAACATAACAGAGCCCTGAAGAACTCCACAGGTCAATGACCAAGGAGTCAAATACAAGTCCTTAAAATCACTTTCTCGATTTGACTCTCCAATTCTATTGCTTCTCCTGCTAAAGCTATAGCTACAAAGAAAGCTCTCAAGTAATATGTGGGGGTTATTTAATGCTTGTAAGTCAAATGGTTACTATTTCATTTTCATTTTAGCATTTGGGAGCTTTATAAAGCAAATTTGCTTATATTGCAAACATTTGCATTTAGAATACTACTTGGCTTTGCACGATGACAAGATATCCAGCAGTAACCAATGATTAACATATGTTTTGATACAAAGGATCTTGATACTCAGGGGAAGAATCCAGCTAACAGAATATAAATAAAATGACCCAGTCCCTAAAGACATGTTTCTTGCTCTGTGCACAATAGCGTTAAGTTAGAGTTCGCTAAAACCAATTGAAATAATACTGTTGACATTATGGAGTTTTGGATTGGGATTTGACATTTTTAGCAATGGCATTTGGCAAACCCTTACTCTTGTGGAAAGGGCAGTGTTGTCTCTGCTACTCATGCAGAATGGACTGAGATTCAGCTCTGAACTCACTTTTCTGAAATCATCTTTTGCTAAACCCTGTTTATCTAATAGCTGACAGAGACCAAGTGGCTTATCTCAAGTGGAATTTTGAACAGTGAGGATACTTACAAAAGGCTCTAAGCTCTTCATTATTTCTTTCATTAAAAAAAATCCCAATAACTTAGAACACAATGGGCACAGTTATAAATATTTTATTTTTTAAATGAGATTTCATTTCCCATTTTAGGAAAAAAATACCCCAGAATTTTCTGCTAGGATCCAAATGTAACTGAGACATTTTAAATGCAAAATATGTGATTCACTTGGAGCTAACAACTTTCTTTAAGAAAATTATTATAGATTTTCTTTCCCCTTGGTGTTTATTAAAGGCATGTGCATGGTCCCGAATTAGTCATGGTTAACTTCACTTCTACTTTTTTTTCCATGTCAGAAGCAACTTGAAAAACTGCAAGTCGCTTCTGGTGTGAGAGAATTGGTCGTCTGCAAGGATGTTGCCCAGGGGACACCTGGATGTTTGATGTTTTACCATCCTTGTGGGAGGCTTCTCTCATGTTCCTGTATGGGGAGCTGGAGCTGACAGAGGGAGCTCAACCCATCCTCCCCAGATTTGAAGCACTGACCTATCAGTCAGCAGTCCTGCCAGCACAAGAGTTTAACTCATTGCATCACTGGGGGCTCCTTCTTTCTCTACTCAAAGTGATGAACTGAACTGATAGCATGTAAGCAGCAACTACTGACAGTTGGTAAACATTTAGTACATAACTTTTCAGAACTCTATATTTTATCTAGGGGTAACATTCAATTTCTTTGTTTCTGCCTAGTGATTTGGGACCAACTGATATGATATTGTTCTTCAAATTGATTTGTTTCAGGAGGACAAATAACTTCATGCACAGAATCCCCATGAAGAAATAATAAAATGTGCACCACTAAATTAAAAAAATCCTGCCCTCTCTATCTTGCAGGTAGCTTCCTGCATCACTTGAAATCTGTGATGTGGCTGCCCTTCCAGAGTAGAGATGGAAAGAATAATCAAAACGGTTCAAAAATGGGATTCTTAAGTCATACCAAATTGAGAAGATTTGGAGTTTGCGGATTATTCTCTGGGGATAATGCATATATATGTTTGTGTGTGTGTGTGTGTAGGAAAATATTATTTCTGCACAGGAAACTCTGGTTTTGCTTAGTAAATGCTGCTTTATGCCCAAAATAACCACATTTTTTGGTATTTGTTTCTGAACTATTCTTCAAAAAGTGAAAGGTTTTGAATGATTTGCTTGGCAAAAGACATACAAAGCTAAAATTATTTTTTCTTTGCTATGGGAATGAAATTTATGAAGATATAAACAGATGGGGAGTGGGTATCCTGATATGTAGATCAGGATACCTGCTCCCTATCTGCATATGTACTTCTACTGGCTTCAGTTATCCCTTAAAATACAGAGTGACACACAAGTGACACACACACAACCACACATTGGAACCTGATTATAACTGGCTTCAGAGGATACATCAACTGAATCTTGCCCTTCATTGAAGAAAAGCATAAGCATAGTTGGAGAGGAAATCATGAAACTATCTAGCAGCCTTGTCACTTGGCCACTTGCAGTGCTCCATTTCATAGAGGGGTGTGGGGAACCCATTGCCCCACATTCTGCATTGCCTGGCTCCAGCTGAGGGTGATCATATGGGGGAAAGCATGAACACATGTGGAACATGTGGCCTTCGCCATGCATTGCAATGTCAACACAGGAGCCCTCCCATGTTGCCCTGGTGTCGGCATGTGTCAGCTCTGCCCCCCCCCCTTCACCAATGGAGCTGTGCTGGCATCATCTGGTGGGAATTGGCCAACTCAGTGGGTGACCGGGGCTAAATTGGCTCATGCCACCAAATTTAGCCCGGTGTGAAGAGGTCATAGGTGTTGCTGAAATGCAGTTCTCAGATGTCTAACCTGAATTACCAATGGCAAGAAATGCTGAGAGTCATATTTCATCATATTTCCTAACCTACCACCTCCATGGCATAGGATTTAAAACTTGGATTTTCTCTTAATTCTAAAACTTTGATTTAAATTAAAAGTGCATAAAACAATAACAAACAGACCATCAAATGAAAGAAAAATGAGCTTATTGTTGGTCTTTGAATAATCGGTCAGACAACTTGTACTTGAAGGGTTTATACTCACCTAGTGATTGATCTTGAAATTACTGTCTTCACTTGCAAACCATTCAAAGGTTTGATTTTTCTCTTATTGATGAAAATAAGCAAAGGGATACTCTAAAGGGAAAATATAATAATTCCTTGACATCTGAATTAAGTTCAAAGGCACATCTCTTCTTGACTGAATTTCTTTTCTTACATTTGCATTTTAGCATTTACACAGCAGCTGTCAAAGCATTTTTTAAAGCTTGACAGGCCACTATTATCACTGTTTTTGTTTCTCCTCTCATTTTACAGAATGTATTTTTGAATTAAAAAGCATTTAGATAGGTCCTTTCACCTAAATTTGAAAGGTTGCTTTTCTTACATCTATGCTGAACAATAATAACTTGATTTCAAGTGTAAAGCCAATGTAAGAAATTATTAATTTCATGCCAAATAACGTTATCTATATTTTTTTCTATATTTAAGAACATTAAATTCAAAGTTAGACCATGAAACTAATTTTGAAATGTAGAAACAAAAATTTCAGAGTTATAAATCTATCTCATAGTTTGTCTCGAGTTCTGTTAAGTTCTTGAACAAACTGGGGCCCTGTAGATGTATTGGACTACAATTTCCATCATCCCCAAACATCTGCAGGGTATCATACTTGAGTGGTTGGATGTATACAAGACACAATTAAATCTGATGAAGCATAAAAACACTAAATATCCTTTTGGAGATAAGAATGGAATACCACATGATAGATGTCCACAGAACAACTGTTGAAAATGGAAGGTAGATTATATTGTCGAAGGCTTTCATGGCCGGAATCACTGGGTTGTTGTAGGTTTTTCCGGGCTATATGGCCATGTTCTGGAGGCAATTTTTCTCCTGACATTTCGCCTGCATCACCTCTGAGGATGCTTGCCATAGATGCAGGTGAAACGTCAGGAGAAAAATTGCCTCCAGAACATGGCCATATAGCCCGGAAAAACCTACAACAACCCAGTAGATTATATTATTGTAACCACAAGTAACTTAATACATTCTGGATTAACAATATGAAGAATATATTCTTACATTTATGTACCATGTAAACCTTGCCATCTGAGTAGCCACACTCATTTTCATTACCTGAATAAGTAATGGGAAGTGAGCCAGACCAAATTGCAGTTTAACATGCAAATGTACTAGGAGCACAGAGGTAGGTTAGCTTCCAAACAAGGCTTATACTGTACAGTCTTCTTTTATAATAGTATAATGACATCTGAACAAGCTGAAGCTTCTGAGTGCTCTTTATAGGCAGCACACAGAGCACATTGCAGTACTCCAGTTGAGATGTAACTAAGGCATGTACTACCATGTACTACCATGACCAGATCTGGTGTCTCAGGGTACGGGCGCAGCTGGTGCACAAGTTTTAGTTGTGAAAAGTCACTCCTGGCCACTATTAACACCTGAGTCTCCAGGGTCAGTGATGAATCCAGGATCATCCCCAAGCTGCGTACCTGTATTTTCAGGGGGAATGTCACCCTGTCCAGCACAGGTTGGATCCCTATACCCAAATCTGCCTTACAACTTTGAAATTAAATCCTAACAAGACAATCTGTTCACCCTCATCCAGTCCATTACTGTTGACAGACATCTGGAGCTGAGAAGCCATCACTCTCTGCAGAAACTTGCCCAGAAAGGGGAAATTGAAAACTGGCCAAAAATGGTTCAGTGGGATCCAGTGCTGGTTTTTAAGTAGGGTTTTACTACTGCCTCCTTAAGGATAGCTGGAATTTTGCCTTGTACTAAGGAGGCTCTCCTGAACCCTATTCCTCCAGAGTTAAACATGAAAAAATAAACCCAATGAAACAGCAACAATGGAAAAAAATCATATAAAAATACACGTACCTAGGATAAGGGATGTACATGTGAAATCAGAAAAAGACTGGCATGGATAAAAAAAAACTCTTATTTCATCAATCAAAATGTGTGGCTCCTTGAAAGATTAGCCTGATAGTGTATATCACTTTTGAAAAAGAAATAATACTTGTCAAAAGTTATGTGTAATTTCATTTTTTAACTAAAAATAAAAAATCTCAATGAAACATGCTCAACAGACATGCTTAAAGTCGCTCTCTGGATCCCTAACTTGCCTTCAGCTGACTAATGACTGTAAAACCAATGTGTAGTGTCTATTTGTCGGTTTTTCTCAAGATGTTTAATGTGTACAAACTAAATTACAGTGGAGAAAAAGAGAATGAACTGTAAGCCCTGAAGATTCACATTTCAAATAATGTTTGGATAGCTTTGTCATAGGAAGAGAAATGGCTTCAGTTGTGAATGTCCTTAAGAGGCTAGTGTATTTATTTTTTGTACCTGTTAACCAAAATAAATTTCCTTAACATAGGCTGATCTCCAGTGATCAATCCTCTAAAAAGGGCACTACTTGGTATTCTGTGATATCTTCAAGGAAGTTTGCTCCCAGTTAAAAATGACAAGCATGTTCTATTAAATTTCCATTTACTGGTTGATGCATCTGTAATTTAAAGAAAGGATAGAACTGAATTTTAATAACTTATTGTGTATGCTGAGTACACATGTGGAAGGAAAGGTTGTAAACTTCTGAACATTTAAAAACAAAATACTTTTGGGATTTATTCAGCATGAAATATTGGTAATTATTTAATTTATTTTGGACACTGATAATTCTACTGCTTGTAACACCTGGAGTGTTTCAGAGGATGATATTGGGAGACATTTCTTTAGACCATCACCATTGATGTTTTCATATTTCAATCTTGTTGCCCCATGCAACAAATGTTGGGAAACAGTATCAGATGAATTCACTTTTAAACCAGCAGTCACCTAATTGATGGATTTGCTCACCCGAAAAGTCTCAGGATGCATCTTCACTGATACTTTACCTCAGGGGGAAGTAAGGTCAGCTCTGTGGCAGTTTCAGGATGCTCAAGAGCTTTCCCCAGTATCTGGAGTTGCCCACGACTTTGAGCACACATAGTCAGTTGTGCTACTTCCTATTCAGAAAGTGACCACAGTAGGTTTCACCACAACCTTGACATTCCCAGGCTTGGACAGCCAGGGAGCAGGGGAAGGCTGTCTCCAGGACTTCCCTTGTCATCTTGCCCCCATGTTTGCACCACTAATTGGCACTGTTTCTCACTTGGTGATTGCAGTGATGCTATCCCAAGCAATGAGGCAATTGCAGAAGAGGGCAGGGATGGGAGAAATCATTCCACCTTTCTTGTGCCCTCTCCCATGTCACTGTGATGCTTTTGATATTGAGCAAGAAACAGTGCCATTTTGTGCCTGGTGGGCACCACAAATGGCATATTGTGGGGGGCAAGGTAAGGGTCACAGGTGAGAAGCCACCATCCAGCTGCAAATGTGGTTTAAGGTCATGCACTTTAGCCTATATCCAATTGTCAAGTTGGCTTGGGGATATGCCGTTTAGCTTCCAGCAATGTTGATCTGGAGTACCCCATCTTTGATCAACATTACCATTTGTGCCCTGTCAGAGGAAATTTTATTTTATGATGTCTCATCATATGAAAAATGATTATTATTTAGGTAGTTACTTATTTTATCAGGTAGAAACATTTTATATTTGCCTATTTTAAATTCAATATTGTTTTGTTATTTTTGAAATTTATTTTGCTCCTTGTTTTGATTGTTCTTAGCCACCCTGAGTAGTGTGAAAAAGGGTAAAGAATGAATTTTTGAAAAGAATCATAAATTAAAAAACAGTATATGATAATAGATAAATTGTATTGTTAGTAACAATCATGGCAGGACTATGTTGGTATTTCACAACCCATTGTTCCAGCATAATGTCTTCTCAATGCCATTTGAATTGTGTTTGCAGGTTCTTGCTTCTAGAGCTATCCTAAAGTGGCAATGTGCTGTTGGTGTACCCTCAGCTTCATAGGCTTGCCTTTAGAGACCACTGAATTCATTCTTTAAATGGATTAGTTACTCCTCTGCATTTAACAATTAACATGTAACTGATATATAGCAGGCCATTATCTGTCCACCACTGCATATAAGCACAATGTATTTGATCAGAGAACATGATTGAATAATCCAGAGAAAAGAAAATAATTTTTGCAATACATGGCATAAAATAATATTTTCAATAAATAAAACATTTATTTTAGATTTCTGACTCCCTCTTGAGAAAAGCTTTTCTTCACTAGAATTCAGACCTATTTTCTGTATTCTTGGCATTCATTTATATATCAATAACTTACAAATGCTTGTGTCTGTGTACAAATTATTCTGCTGTTTGCCTAACGCTGTTCTCTACCCTACTTCCACCCTAAGAACTGCAATGCAAAATTTTATTTTATTTTTAAGGAGGTTAAATCATGATGTCAATTACAGACCAAGGGTAAATTTATTTGTTATTCATAACTATCTCATTTGGAAAAGCTTAGTTTGTCTTTTTTAGTCCACAATGAAGCAATAACTGCAGCTATTAGATATTTTCTGAGTTAAACATTATTGACATACTATTGCTCTTTGGAACTGTGTCCTTTTCTCCCCATTCCTTACAGGCCTTGTTGGAATATATAGAATCCTTTCTCCAATAGACTTTGTTATGTCTTTTGCTTAAACATTGCAGGAGATAGACAATAATTATGGTTATTTTAGAGAAATCTTGAACCAAACCTTAAAAGGGGATTGCTTCTTGTGGTGACCTAATTTGACATCTGGTAAATAGACTGCTTGGGGATTCATATACAGACTTGCAAAGCCTTTTTGATCAGGATTGACAGTGGACAAGAAAAAATATGCACACACCATGACAAATGTTCCCTCTCTTGAGGCCCTGTCCATTGTCCTTTTAAAAATGCCACCTCTCTTCAGATCACCTACATATGGCAGAAGTGACAAGTGGGGATTCTGGAGAATTGCTGCTGCTATTATCCTTACCATATTTTTTATTATACCAGCACTCAGATACTGTAAGTGCTGCTACTCTCACAGTTGCCATGTAACCAAATCTGAAACTAGTTCCAGGTTACTAAATAACACCTGATCATTCTATTTTCTGCCAGTTGTTTATTTTCTACACAACCACATAGGAGGGGGAAGATGCTTACAACACCCGTTTGTTGTTC